TTTCATGTTCATTATAACAGAAGAATGAAAGGGAAAAACAGAGCATATGTGAATAAATTTAGAAGACAATAATAGCAGTCATAGGATCATAGCTTTAGAGTAGAAAGGACCTTAGAAATCCTCTAGTCTAATCCAATTACTTCATTTTACAAATGAGGAAAATGAAGCCCAGAGAGCAACTTACCCAAGGTCACACAAGTAGTACCAAATAGCCAGGAATGGAGCCAGGATTTGAACTCAGGTCCTTTGGCTGTAACTCCAGTGCTCTTTCCACTTTACCATGAGGAATCCTAATCTAGCTTAGAATATCCGTGGACATATATGGATGTTCTTGATATAGACACAAGAAAAGCTAGGCTGCAGTTTGGCAGTACAATGTTACTATTCTACGGCTCATTACTTGATCGATATTCCAGTTCATCTTTCCAGGGAGGAGTCAGAACCTAGGCCTGAGGAACACGTAGTCCTGTCCTCATTATGTTGATGAGAATGTTAGCACATACAATGTCAGGTTGCCTTGTAGGAAACAGCAGGAAAGTTGAGAATTCATAGAAGGATGAAGCCAACAGTGGCTGCCAAGCATTCAAGCCCTCTCTCAGGTAAGGAAGGATATCAAAGCAATACCTTACTGCCTTATATCTCAAGGGCCAGATAGGAAATTTGGAAGTTTTTCCTTTGGAAACCATATATAAAAGAAGTTCCAATTTAGGCCCCAGAACATTATATATGGGCCTCTCACACTCTGGGAGCTCATTCTCCTTCTCTCTGACTGCTAAGGCACAAAATGTCACTGATGTTGTTACCTGGCAGATAAACATCCAAGGGCACTCTCATTACAGTAACAGGAAATTCAGACTGATGGGCCAACATGAGCAGCACTTCCCCTACACTGCACCTGCGTATCTGCCATTAGGAATAATGAAAGTCAGATAGATGCCCAGAAAATAAAGACCAAAGACATGAAATAATGTCCCTAGTGCTAAGCCTTCCTCCTGCTTTGGTGCAAACACAACATGCTTTAGAAGGCACCTGGATACAAGCATGGCAGAGATTCTCACTATCAATATGTATATTGCTGTTCTTAATATTCAAGAATGATGCTTCTGCCAGGTCTGCTACCTGTGGGAAGGTTAAAAGACTAATGGGACAGCAGCAGCATTTTCCACACTGAGTATACCTGTATGATACTGAGAGATGCTAACTAAAGGAGTTTGCTTTCAAATATGCTAGAGAAGGTGTCTGCATTATCTTGCAAGAAGAAAAAGCTGTCATTCCTACATGCACATGAGAGCTTTGCAAATGCAATTAAGAGGAAATGAACTCGTATTAAACTTTAATGATTTCGAGGGGAGAGGTGTTGTTTTGCAGCTTGTGGGTGATAGGTATTTTGTCTCTCTCTTCTATTAGGGTATGGAGAAATTCAGGTGTGTGTGTGTGTGTGTGTGTGTGTGTATATATATACATATATACACACACATATATATACACATATATATATACACACATACACACACACACATATATATATAATGACTGGGTGTCTATAGAATTACTAATTCCATCCAGAAGCATTATACTAGCAGCGTGCTAATGGGCTAAATTGCTACAATTTAGCCCAACTATGTTTTCATTTGCAGGCTTACAGAAAACTTGAGAAATATATGCCTTTCCACAGAGCTGCCCTGCTTTTACTGCGAGGGTATTTGTTATCCAAATCCATCTGTTAATTGGGTGGCTTTAGGGAGCTGGCTCATGGAACAATTCTGGGGGCCTAGAAGTTGTGCTGTCTGAAGGAAGTGAGGGCCAAGGATTCTCCTCCTGAAGCAAGAAAGACTAGAAAGCACTCTTCCATATTTGCAAATTAGCCAAATCTTGTTAGTTTGGAAACACTATAGAATATGTTGCAAATTTTACAACATATGTCACTTATTGTTAATAACTATTGTTGAAGTATGAACATGGTCTACTTCTACAATATTTTTTATATAATAGTTGCAGCATCCAATTATACAATAGTAATTGCGAATAATTATACCAAACCTCAGTCTGTTTTATGACTATTTCTCACACGGAGCTCGTATACTCTATATAAACACCATCTGTATCAAACATAAAACCCTTGGTTACTGTAAGAATACAGACTTACAAAACATAGCTTATTAGGTCTTAAGGGCCGTGCAGTTCTGTGGCTATTAGTGATGTCTCCTCACAAACCCACATCAATTAAATGACTTACCCCTTCAAGAGCTATGGCCCTGCTCCATTGAATTTGAGCTTAGTAACTTGTTCTGCTCTTGCTTATTGCAAGAATCTTCGCCTCTGAGTCCCCAAACCCTAACAGAGCTTTTGTTTGCTATTAAATGTGCTTAATTTGTCCTGCGGCATTCTGCCCCACATCCCCAGTATGTTCAGAGATGATTAAGCGCTTGAGGTTGACAGAGTAGTGCTTCCCAAATTTCTCTTAGTGAATAGCTATTGAGGTGTTATAGAGTACCAGACTGCTCCTCCAGAATACCAAAGTGTGTCTTTCCCTCTACAGAGGCCCCTTGCTAAGTATAAAGTACAAACAATGAAAATGAAAAGCAAGTAAAAGAAAGAAGAAAAAAAGAAAGAGAACAGAAAAAAAAAGAAAAAGACGACTTTGGTCTCTGAACACATTTGTGGGTCAAGAACTAAAACCTCCTCTGATAACTACATAATGCACTGTTGTTCTCTTTAAGAGAGTTTGACCTCAGGAGAAGAATTAAACAAAGCACTCACTTTGCTATAGTAGACAAGTAAGCTGTTCTATAGCAATAAACAAACTTCAGATATGACACATGAATAAACAGTAGAAAATATTCCCAGGAATTAAACTTAATCAAAGAAAGCCAATTTGTGCTAATGTTTTTAAAAAGTGTTTCTGATTTGATTGGTTGGCGGTATATAGCAGGGTAACTGAGCCATGGCACCTCACCTCTCTATCGATTAACCAGAACAAAATAACACTGTCATTTTCTTTAACAAATTTCAATCATGAATAATTTCCCTGAGGCACTGCATGGTTCCCTTGCCAATCAAGATTTCAATGCTCCAAGATGTGTGAAAACATACCATTTTCATGCAAACTCTCTATCTCCAAAAAACACAGTCCGAGCAGTTTTCATTTTCTTCATGCAAAGAGGATATTAAATTTTCCGATGGAACTATTTTTCTGTTTAAAAAAAAAAAGCTATGGCTGCCAAAATTTATTCTACAGAATCATGAAATGTTAGAGCTGGAAGTGACCTTAGAGATTATCTCAGCTAATCTCTTCCCTCTTCCCATCTCCAATTTTAGAGATGAGAAAACTGAGATCCAGAGAGAAGGGACTTACCTATGATCACAATATTAAGTCACAGAATTGGGATCAGAACCCTGATTCCTAATATAATATCCTTTCCACTCTATCATTGCCTTTCTTCAAAACAATATATTAAATATCACAATTGGGAATTGCCATTACTAAAATTGTAAAAAATTAGAAATGTTTAATTTGCTAGTTCTACTAGGCCATCAGGAATTGTCTGAATATCTAAAGACCTTCATTTATTTGGAATGTTAAGAGTACATAAGTGGTCAGAATTGTTGTAATTTCCTTAGATGCTATTATTTGTCTCTTGGGACTACTCAAACTCGATTAAAGGAATAGCAGGATGACCATTTGGTCAGTAAGGGGAAAGGAAGGAAAGGGTTCAATGCCACTAGCCCAAGATATTGTAGGGAAATGAGCAAATTAGCCATCAAGGAAGGATTAGAAAACAGCCATATTCTTGCTCATTAGAACATCCTGGCACTCAACAAGTCTATTCTCCATTGTCAAGTAAATCTTTTCTGGCCACTTAGAATGCCTGAAGCAGAAAATAGCTGAAAAAGCAAGTAGAGAATATGATAATAAAAATAAAAACTGTACCTTAATAGCGACTTACTCAGTGATGATCACTTTGTTTTCAAGCTAACAAGGACAGCCTTTTGAGTGACTTATTTGAAGTCACACTAAGACCTCAAACGATTAGTTTAATGCTTTGCCATCTTGTCCTCCACACATGAACTATACCAGACATTAGAAATGGTGTTTGGGGGTATTTTTTTTTAGGCAATTGGGGTTAAGTGACTTGCCCAGGGTCATACAGCTAGTAAGTGTGAAGTGTTTGGTCTGAGGTCAGTTTTGAACTCAGGTCCTCTTGGCTTCAGGGCCGATGTTCTAACTATTGCGCCACCTAGCTGCCCCTGAAATGGTGTTATTTTCTACTTGTTCAACCTAAGCTGCTACCAAGTGTCAGTAAATGGTTGTGTACAAGGTTTGCTGGGGTTGTGGGTTTTGTTTTTTGGCCTCGATTATTAATAATACCTCCTTGAGGTAAAGAGGAATAAAGGCTAAGAAGGGTAATGAAATATTTTATGCCTCCTTTGGTAAGAAACAATTCCATGAAATGGAAAGAGCACTGAACTAGGAATAAAAAGAATTAGATTCTAGTTCCGACCCAGTACCAAGAAGTCAAATGACCTTGCCTCAGTGTCTTCAGCTGTAAAATGGGAATAAATAATGCCTTCCTTTTTGCAATGTTCTTGTAAAGACTGAGGGAGATTATTCTTTTTTAAAGGTATTATGTAACGGTATTATTCTTTTTTTAAAGAAGTATAAATGCATGCTTTCACTTTCACTCTGTGAAGCTTTTCCCATGGAAGTAGAATAAGACCTGGGGCCAAGAGACTCAGCGTTGCCTGAGGTTTCACACAATAACAAATATATACATATACATATATATTTTAATCTGTAACCTGGGCTTCTCTGGGCATATGTTTCTCTTAACATGGAGATATCCTTGAAAAGGCCTTTGGAACATACCCAGTTTGCCAAGGATGAAGCCCACTGAGTCCCCTACCACATGGGTCAGGGGAGCCTCTTTTGCTTGACTGCTTATATCTTTAAAATTAGTGAGAGTGAACTGTTCTCTTTCTTTTCTGCTGACCTCTTTTAGACAACCCTTACCTGCTGCATCCAGAGGATGAAGATCCCAGTTTAACCGGCAGCATGGATGCCATCAACTGAACCAGTGCTCTCCTTCTCTTTTACCAAGACTCAGAAATGGTTCCAGGACTGTTTGTTTCTGATGCTGGAGGTGAATCCCAAGGGACTGCAAGTTCAAGCAAAGATGACTTTGGAATCAGGATTGGAGTGGTGCAGCCAGCCCAGAATGGAAGCCCTAAGAAGCCAGGGGGCCTGAGAACTGGGAATGTGCTCTATGGGACTTGAGCTGAGCTATGAACCTAATCCTCTTTTCGTCCTCAGAGACTGAAGAGAAGAATTATGCCTCTCCCATTTGGGGGAGTAAATTTGTATATTTGTGATTAAACTTTTTAAAGTAAATATTTTTGTGTAAAAGTGAATGTGACTGTCAGTGATTAAATGGAACTGAGGGACAGGGACCTACCTACTTCCCTATGACCGAGGAAACATCATTAGGGAAGGTGGGAAATATTACAGCCATTGCAGAGAGTCCAGATCCCTCTCCCCACCACCCAAATTCCCTTAAGGGTACTGAAGAACTCTGACAGAGGAGTGAAGTTTAACTTACCTAGCCTTCAAGCAGAAGGGGTCAGAGTGGTCTGTGTTACATATCATTTAATCACATGAATTCAAGGACTGGTTAGACACATACTGGTGATGAAAATGACTTTCCTTTTACAGTTAAAATACACACTTTATACCAATGTGAGGATAGTCTATGCCTTCTACCCCTAAAAACAGATTTAATGTGTTATGAGGCATATTTGTCTTTTCTTGGGCACTTGAGCAACCAAACGAAGAGCACAGAAGTGAGAGGCATACAGGAGATAGCTTTAGTGATACACTGAAATATTTAAAATACTGGGAAATATTTTCAAATATCCTTCCATTCTTCTTTGCTCTCTCCCTCCCTTCTTTTTTTCCTTCCTTTTTGTTTTTATTGTTTCTGCTTGGCAATTATGCTTGCCTCCTAAAATAATTTAGAAGGAAGGAAAGAAGGAAGGAAAGAAGGAAGGAAGGAAGGAAGGAAGGAAGGAAGGAAGGAAGGAAGGAAGGAAGGAAGGAAGGAAGGAAGGAAGGAAGGAAGGAAGGAAGGAAGGAAGGAAGGAAGAGGTGTGTGTCAGTGACTCCACTGTTCTTTAGCTGCTAAGTTTCACTTTTTCCTATTTGGCACAGTCATACACTTGTATAAGATGATTTATCTGAGTTTAGTGAACCTTAGAACTCAAGGACAAGTTTTTTTTTTAAAACTTGCTCAAATGTAGAGTTTTGATATGTTTACTTGGGGAGGGAATGAAAAGAATGTTGTTTGGAAAATTCTATTTAATAAGTTTATAACAACAAAAAGATGTGCCTGAATGTGGCAAATGATGCTTATCTAAATGTATTATTTTTTCCTAGTATATTTCTATGTATATTATTAATGAAAAATTGTGCAGTTGAAAGGAAGTAAAATATCACCAGGGAGATGTATGTCTAGAAAAGGGGATGGAGTAGTCATGCAGCAAGAATGAAGGATAACCAATGGACAGCCCATATGCTTTACTGGCACCTATGCTATGTCAAGAAAAAATAAAGGAATAAGCATTTATTAAGCACTTACTATGATATAAAGGCTTTTCCAAGTACTAAGGACACAAATATAAAAACAAAGACAGTCCCTGCCCTTACATTTTAAGAGGGAAAAACAACACATAGAGTGGAGTGGTAGGCCAGGGGGGCATTTTGGTCCTGGAAGAGATATGGTGAGTGGGGCCATATATTGCCATGTGGGATTATTTGACACATTGCTTTTAGGAACAATGGTGGAGTTGACTTGACCATCGTTCTGGAACCAGAGGAGGGTGAGATATAGGAGAAAAGGTCACAGGGTACACAAGTCATGTGAACACAAAGTTTGCTTGAGAGTAGAGAGTGAAGTGAAATATGATAGGAACATGCCTGAAAGAGTAGGCCAGGTGAGTCAATCAATGATCAAGACAGAAGGACCTCAGGGTGAAAAGGTGAAACCTATGTAGCCCAGTCTCTGGTCCAAGTGTCATGATGACTAATGTAGCTGTCGAGAAGATGGCTAGGAAGATCTAGAGGAAGGCCACTGGCACACTGGGTTTTGCCACTGCACAGGATGTTAAGGAAAGACATGGACAAAAGTTGCCATGGGCAGCTGATCTTTCCATATCATTTGTATTTTAGCATGGGACAATAGGAAGGGCTCAGGATGTGGAATTAAGATAAATCTAGATTCAACTCTCACCTCTGATGCTTACAAACAAGTGACTATGAGCAAGTCACTTAGCTTCTCTGGGCCTCAATTTTCTCATCTGTAAAATGGGGGTAATAATGTGCTTACCAACTACTTCAAAAGACCATTGGTTCTAAGGATTAAATGAGATAACATATGTAAAGCACTTTGCAAATCTTAAAGCACTAAATAAATGTCAGCTATTATTAACATTAACTGATCATATATACAGTATGCCAAAATCTCAGAGCAGTTTTAAACTACCCCAGACTTTGGGACACACTGTTGATATATTATTGAAGAGATCACAGATTCATATTGAAGTGCAAAATATTTAATGATGCTACCAATGATAATGAATAAAATGAATTGCTCATATTCTAGGTTTACAAAGTACTTTCCTCACAACAATTCTGTGAAGTAGGTAGTATTTTTGACATTTTATAGATGAGAAAACTGAGGCTCAGGGAAATGAAATGACTTGCCCAAGGTCATCCAAATATTAAGTAGAAACACTGGAACTTTAAAACAGATCATTGGAGTCCAGAGATCTTTACACCATATCATGCTACCTAAACAAACATTAGGGCATTTTATTTATATTAGAACTGATAGAATGTAGGTAACTACCCTTAATTTTGTGTTATTTGTTGGTGTAAACAATATTTTTAAGTATATTCTCTTCAATAAGTTCCACCACATATTTCCAAGGCTATCATCTAGACAATTATACTATTTAACTTCTGCCTACTTAGCCCATTAATGTTTGCTATGACCGAGTGTGTGTGTTTCTGTGGCAGCAAAACCCATAAAGTGTACCCAGAGACTAGAGTGATGGATTACATGTACATGCTGTGTCATATCCAATTAACTCAAATTGACTGTACACCTCATTATGCTGTTAGTGCATGGAAGATCAATAAATATGGAGAAAATCCAACCCGTCCCTCTCCTTTCCCATCCAATTCTAGTAGGTCTGAGACAGATCATGCTACTATGATGTGTATACTGCTGCTAACGCGGGCAGGTGGTGCATAGACACCATTCAAACTTGGCCTATTCAATCCAAACTCTTCTAACTCTCCATTCATGCATAGCAAAACACCATCTGGTCCTATTTTGCCTCCAGCAATCACAGCTGACCAAAAAACGATAATAACAGCTGTTGCAAAACAAAAGCCAAACAAAGGGGGGGGTGGGGGAGGGAAAGGTTAGAATGAAGTCCAGTGCTGAAAAATACTCCATGAAGTGAGAAATGGAAAAGAAGCCATTCAGATGTCGAAAGCCCACTGAATGAAGCAGCAGAAGACTCCTGGTTAAACCTGAGATACAAATCCATCTGTCTAGAAAACCATCAAACTTCAATAGTTAGGTGGTAATATATCGTTGAAATTATACTGCATAAAGGCATTTAAGCTTTTGTTCTTTCACTTAGGAACTAATGACCCCATGTCAGCTAAAAAATGAAAACTCCTTATGTTCTTTCATCATATGGCAGCATAGGTTAATGCAAGAGTAGAAGATAGTTAGCCAGAGTAATAAAATATCTTCCATGAAAGGGGGGGGCAGGGCGGAGAGGGGGAACTTATTAATGTCAGGAAAGAAAGCACTACTTAAGAGTTACAGAATTTCAATGTCACACTAATCAGACACTATGTCTTTCTCATGTTCATTTTTCATCATCAGGTTTATTTCTAGTTATTTCTAACCTGTAACAAAAAGTGCACCAAGTTACTTAAATAGTAGGAATAGGAACAGTCATACATGTAAATTGAAATACAAGCTGTTTCACAATATGCTTTGGAGGATCTTGTGAAATATACTTTCATAACAAGGTTGAGGATTATTTTTTCATGATTCAAGTCTTTGACATTTTAAACGTACGGTTCTGTCTCGTGATTAATATGTGTGTGTATGTGTATGTGTATGCTGGAGTAATTAAACTATTTTCCTTGGAATTGGCTATCAGTAGTTTAGGAGTACTTAATCAAATGTGATAAAACCCAAGATTTATAAAATCATTTAATGGATGTAATAACACCTGCTTATAACTGCAAACTGTTGAAAACAGACTTCACTTGCAATTAACTCTTATCACTAGTGACAATTTTTCCAAGCGATACTTCACGGGCTTTCAATATGACAATTACAGAACAATACACAATTACTGTCACATGTAGTTTAGCAATTAATTTTGAAGACATTTGTCTAAAGGTTTCAAAACAGAATATAAAATGCTTCTCATTGTTATGTGATGTTGGTTTCAATCCACAGAAAAATTTTTACAATCATTTCTGCCTGTGAGATATCTATTGCAAGAAGATCTCACTTCTGTGAAATAATCACTCCCCTATAGATGTTATTAGGTATCATCCTTAGACTGTTTCAGCACTAATACCTGTCAACTAATACATCTTATGAAAAGCCTCAATTTAGACATACATTTTTCTACTGCAAGAAATCTATAAATTTATAATTAGAATCTCTTGCTGTTCAATATTTGTACATAATATGGGAGTACCAGAGGATTATGAAATATTGAAAGCTGAATTCATTATTAATAACCCATAACATACAGTAAATATTTTTTGAGCCACAACAGCATCTTTCAGGAATCCATACTTCATTATTTGTGTATGTGTTTCTTACACATAGTAGCTCTGGACATCACCTCTCACATTCATTCTTTCCAGATTAGGATGCTGGTCAGGCTTGACACTTGCTGTTTTTAATTTTCATTTTATCATAAGCAGTTTAAGGCTGTTGCCAGTGGTAATTTGCAATTTTTATCAAGACC